GCTGTGACTGTTGCATAGACTCCGGGTGTGTGGTGGGATACCACGAGGTGTAGCTGGGGATGTAGGACCCGGTCGTGGCCCCCGCTGGAGTCTTCACAGTGGTCGGCGAGCTCCAGACAGGTGCCACCGAGGGGGAGCCGCTAGACAGTCCGCGGCCTGTGGCCAAAGCGTTGGCGTCGATGGCGCCACCGCCTTGTTTCATGAGCTTCTTGAATTTGGATCGTTTGTTTTGGAACCAGATCTTTACCTGGACAGAGCAAATATTTAGAACATTTAAATATATTTTTTAACGAATTAACAAACGGAAGTGGAAGAGCAGGACGTGACAAACAAATGACGTACGTTTTACGCATCTTTTTAAAAATATATATTTGTTTGTTGTGGACTAACCCAGGTGATTTTATTGATAGAATTGTTAGTGAAAGAAACAGTGTTGGAATTTCTTTCATTTTCTTCCTCCGTGTCTCCTCAGTCACTGACACTGACTAATCTCGGATTATTTCCTTTTTTAAACAAATGAAAAAAGATTCTACATCTTAAATTTGAGCAACTCGGATTATGTCAAAGCAAAACAACATTTTCTTTGTGTGTGTCAGCTTTACTCCAACGTCCTCGTATGATAAAGCGCTACAGCCTAATTTTTTCCCTGAGTTTGGGACAGAGAAACCAAAAGTGCTTAACAAATTATGGAAATTAAACCCATTAGGTGAGTGTGTAGATTCGCCTGGGAGGCTGTAAAGAGTTTAGGCTGCTCTACGTTTCATCCGAGCTTGTAAACATTAAAGCCTTCGTCAGTTACAGCCTCAGACACGTCCATTAATCAAATGTGTCTGGCTGTTCCCTCAGACTGAAACACAGAGGCAACACAGCCTTTACACAAACTACTACCTCAAAGTCTGCCTTCTACTTTCACATCTATTTTCAGCACCATGCATTCATTATTTATCGAAATATTTACTTATACATGATTTGTTATTTATTTATTTGTCTATGGTTGCAAAATTTTGAGAGACAACCTTTAAATTATATAGAACATTTAAATAATTGAAGGTGGGCATTTATTTATTTTTTTAACTGTAGGGCTATAACCCAACCTGCTGTACTCATTTGGAGATAAATACTGCACCACAAAATTTAAACATTTAAACATTCAAACTGCAAACTACTAAGAACGCCACATGGGGCCGCATTAATACTGCAAACTACTAAGAACGCCACATGGTAGATTCAAGGTCCAAAGAAATTAGAGGAAAAACATAATTAGAGCAACATGTTGTACTTACACACTGACACTATCAGATATTTGGCAATATTAGAAGTATTGTCAATTCCGGGCTCCAATTTTGTTGCCACAATTTGGAATTACACACAAGTACACGACTGTACACGACCTTAGTAGTATGCGCTTAACGCGGAGCCCAATAATAATAATAATAATAATAATAATAATAATAATAATAATTGGTGTAGTACTAGTAGTAGTAGACTCGCCTGTGTCTGTGTCAGACCCAGCGACGCCGCCAGCTCCGCTCTCTCTGGTAAAGCCAAATACTGGGTTTGTTGAAATCTCCTGTTCAGAGCTTGGAGCTGCAAACTGGAGTAGATAGTCCTTGGTTTCCTGATCTTCTTCCCTTTGCCGTTGAATCGAACCTCACCTCCTTCCACCACTGTGTTTTTCTCTGTTTCTGCCGCTGCGGAAAACACACACAAACACACAGGCGCACATGCAAGAAAAAAAAAAGAAAGAAAATGAGCGGCGCCGAATGAAGCGAGGCAGTTGTAGCTAACAGTAGTGAATGCTCCAACTGCTCTACTTTAGCTATAATTACCCTTAATTACATACATTGTTTATAGCGTTACGCAATAAATAATTACGGAAGCCTAATTCCTTCTCGTGGGTCGCATTTGTCGCTCTTTACTGCCGGGACTGTTCGCAGCAAACAGTCGTGCATAAAAAAGGACGCAAAGATTCATATGTGAGGATGCAAAGATGCAGATATGGCGCACTTACCCGCGTCTTCCAGCCGCGTCTGCGTCAGCGCCGAGCTGTTCTGGTAACTCTGCACTGTGCTCAGGTACGGACTGGAGGAATGGCTGCCGACTGAGTTGACGTATGGATAAGCCAGGGACCTGGGGAACGAGGAGCCAGGACTGTAGCTGTCGTGCTGGCCGTGACCTGCAGAATGTAAACAGTGCATGGGATAGTGTCCGTGAGACATGGAGGACGGAGACATTTGCTGACTCGGGGGTCCAAACTCCATGAAAACGGCTTTTCCTGAGGCAGGGCTGTTGAGACTCTCTGGGATCGTAGTCATTGTCATCTCTTCTGACGGTTGCCCTCGTCTCGCTTTTGTTCTTTTCCGTCTTCTATGATCTCACTGAAGGAGGACGAGTCCCAATTTAAGCCGCACTCCCTTTTACTCTTTCCATTCATAAGAAAATGCAGTTTGTGTCAGTGAAAAGTCCCAGGTATGATGCTGTGGACCAAGACAAACTCGCTCAAAGGTTTGAATCCCGGACTCATGAATATTCATCCAAGACGCTCGCTGATTGGTCCACTGCCTTCAAGAGGGAAGCCGATTGGCGCCGCTGGGGCTGGGGTCCGAAGAAGACGATAAAGTCAAGGCAAAAAGCACAAAAAGCCTGACATTTCTTCTGCCATGTCTGGATTCACACGATTATTATCATTATTATTATTATTATTATTATTATTATTATTATTATTAATTTTATTATTATTATTATCCTTTTAATCTCAAATTAACGTTGTCAATTTTTCATTTGCTCCTCATTCGTGGCCGATTCATGGCCGAAGCCTGACACATTTCCTTGATTCTTTTTTAATTATGTTTTCACTTGTAATAAAAATAAATAAAAAACTTGAAATAAAAATGTGCCATAGAATCCCAGTGAGCACAATGGACACAGAGCGACATCCAACGGTTTCTTCGCCGTTTTAAATTCTATTAGAGGTGTTATTTTATGCGGAACATAAACTCTGCTTTCCTTTATGAACGTATTATTTTTATTTTTATTATTATCATCTCTCTTCAGGGCCATTAAATGGGGCCCGTGGCCTCAGACGTGAGTAATTCCATCAAAAATAGATTTACCACAGCTTATTATAAATGTTTATTAAAAAAAATTCTATTTTTTCTACCTTAGTAAATCGGGTTAAAATCAACTATTTAAATCTAATAAATCCATGAAGCAAAGCTGATTCACACGTGGACATTAGGCTGGACCTTTGCCAAAAATCAATGCGTAACATGCATTTGTTTTTCATCGAATTACAAAAAAAAAGCATTTATTTATCAGACGTGACCTGCGATAAAATGCCGGACCTTACATTTTAAGTCTGTCGCATTATATTAAAGAGCGCCATCCGTTTGAGATCGTCGTAAACGCCATTTATTAACGTTAAATAAAATCCCAGCGCCACGTAACCTGCTCGGTTCAAGCTCGATCAAAGCTGTTTTTGGAGCTGATTAATAAAACTCTCGCTTCTCTATCAGGAGCAAAGTGTATTAGCATAACACTGCTGTTCAATTTTCATAAGTAGGCGCGTAATTAGACATGTATTTAACACTCGCTGTGGCCTCGGGTCTCACTTTACACCTGCAGGCAGCGGTGGATGTTAAAGCAGCCTGCTCTGAGCGCAGATAAAGAGCTCTTTCTGATTACGTGGTCGCTGTAATACACCTATATTGCAGACTTTTTAATTATAACACGTCAAAATGTAATTCCAAGCAGTATATTTTAGATCCCCGGGCACCTGGGAGCTTCCTATTAACATGGATAATTGGATCACATCAGGCTGCCGCTGTAATGGTGGGAAAGTGTTTTGTAGGGCAGCCGTGCGTAAAAGCGCATTAAACGAAGAGCATTTTCTTATGGATTTGAATCCTCTCCAAATGACTTTTCGCACGGACTTTAACTTTGTACCGCGTGTGGACATCACCTATGATTACAGTGAACTGAAGTTGGAGGGAGAGGGTGCGGCCATGTTAAACAAAACGACACACCCATCAGAGGATAACGTACAGAATCCTGGCTTTGAATAAAATGTTGCTCTCTGTCTAAGAGACACAAAACTGGAATTTTTAAGGGATAAATTACTTTTTATTGTATTTTGAAAACGACAAAAAAAATCACTGGTCTCCACATTTTGTGCCATTAAAAAAACCGACTTATATTTACGTCAATTGTGCCCGTAAATGCACGTTTTTACAGCAGGAAATGTACATTATGAACCATATATCACTCAGGACTATTGTATGGTATTAAAAGAGGACAAAAATGTCTTTTGCGATTTAACAATGATCTCAAAGGCATATCATATCAGTGTACTTTTTTTTTTTTGCTCCTTTAGTCTGTATTCTACGGGATCACTGCTGCTATAGTTTAACCTGTAGGACTAAAATAACTCTTTTAGGATGGAGGGGAAAAAAACTCGGTTTACTTACTTCTTTTATCCTGTGATGGAAAAGAAGCAGATAAATCCGCGCCATCCGGGGTCAGAGAGCCTTAGTGCGCACCGCGGAAGAACCAAGAAGAAGGAGAATAATCCAGCGCTTTATTCCACAATCACTGGACATATTTTCAGCTTTTTGCTGCTGCTCCTCTTCTTCTGATGCTTCTGCCTGCACAGAGCAGGAACTCTGCTCCATCCGCAGCCCCTCCATCATCTCCACCTGAATAACAAATTAAAGCCTGTTAAATTCCGCCACTGTGATTATCAGTCTAATTGCATAATTGATCTCCCTCATCTAAAAAAAAAACAGAACTAACTGTGGGCAAAGTTGTGATAAATGTGATATCAGGAACCAGGCTCTGACTACATGTGGCACAGTGTGCCAGAGAGAGCAGCCACAGCCTGGATTTAAAGATTTATGTGGAAATATTGGGCTCCAACAAAAGCTGGGTCCCCTTGGCCCCCTTTAAAATAGGCCAATTTGCAGCGATTTCTTTGGAATTACTTTGGGAAAATGCTTCAAGATTTCCTCCATCAACAAGGACAATGATAATGGTAGTACAACCGATAATTATCATCTTCTAGAACAGAGGAGACATTTTTATGGGTACTTGGTGGGTGCGACTGATAACTGTCATTATTTTCTCACGATTATAGTATCTACAAACTGCAACGAGGCTGTAGGACAAAAAAGAAAAGAAAATTCACAGAGAAAAAAAGGAGAAACCAGGAAAATACTACTCATTAATTTTAGGCCTTTTTATGCAGAAACAAATGTAGTCCAACAGTGAGGTTCTTATTTTATTCAGATCAACGCTGGTTTGTTTAAAAAAAATACAAACTATAAGGATTAAACCCTCACTTCCGATGAAAAACAAACCAAAACAAGTCATCCATTTGACTTCTGTCTCAACCATCCGAATCGGGTGGCTGCACACTCTGAGTCTGGTTCTCTTCAATTATTAATTTGTTCTTGAACATTGATTAATCTCATATTAATTAAAGTTACATTTTTTTATTTAATATCTCCTTAATATAATTTCAACGTAATGCTGAATATACGAGTTACAGATAATACTAGATAAAACGCCTGTTATTTTCCTGTTAATGTGGTTTGAGATTAGAAAAGCCCTTGTGGTGAAATGGTTTAGTGAATTTAGGCTTTTTCTTGTTTTAAAGAACAGTTTATTTGATTTCTTTTAAAGCCTGACTGTAAAGTGACTATTTATATTAATGCTCAGGACAAAAGTGTGGGGACCTGCACCGTAGGCCTCCACGGACCTGACCAGAGTAAAACTTAAGTCCTCTATGACCCTGGATGGATGGATGGATGGATGGATGGAGTCATTAGAGAGTCAGCAGCTCGGTGGCTGAGGGTGGTTCAACACCTGCTGCTCTTCACCTGAAGGTGAGTGCACATGCAGGTGGAACAGAAGGAGGTGAAGGAGGAGTAGGAGGAGGAGGGGAGGGGAGGCGGAGGTGAAGAGGACTGATGTCACCCTCTTCATTTTATAAATATAAATGTGACTATAGAAAAGAAACAGAAAATATATTTCAGTCCATTCTATAGTATATCTCAGATTTAAATGGAGGAATAATGTGTCACATTGAATCATAAAGAAGTGTAAAATGTGAGAACGGTTTGGATTTAAGATTTTTATTCACAGAACAGAATGGCTTTTAATACCCAGTAGCGATATGACAGCATTTTGGATAATATTTTCCTATTTATATGTAATTTATGACTTGGTTACACTGTGCCACTGGTTTCTGTATGGATGAATAAATAGACAAAAACAATAATAATCTACATAATAATCTAAAATAAGGTTTAAAGGTTTCTAAATTGATGCCTTCACACGGTGGCCTGTGCTCCCCCACCACTGAATTACAATTGATACTATTAGTATTCACACATTCTAAAAGTACATTTAAAAAACTCACTCTTTTTTTACATTATAATGTCTTCGTTTCCTCATCTGCACATTGTGCAGACATTTTGACCACATCACCTCTGCAACACGTGTCATTTTGGCAAGTGCTCATCCGCAGCAGAAATGTCACACAGGAGGTTGCATTTCACATTTTTAAAGCCAGTGGATCAAACAAGTGAAATTGCCTTTTGTTCTGCTTCCTGTCTGGTTTTGCTGCCCGCTGCCATCCTGTAATTTGCGGCGTCAATGGAGGCAAACTACATGCACTATACAATTAACTGGATTCGGTGTCTATTTTCGTGTGCAACGTGGCATCAAAATGTGAATTGATTTTGTTTACTGGCTTCTAAGTAAACAAAAAGTAAATCAAATTGTCTGAGGAACAAAAGTGCAAAGCCAGTTAATTGATTTTGTTTCCTTGAGGGTCTCAGAGCGATACAAAGAAAAATGTGTTTGTTTTTTGTAGTAAATACTACACAGACTAAGAGACAATATGGGGGACAGAATACTAAGAGGGAACATTGAAACTAAAACTACACCAACAAAAGTCTGACTGGGAATAGAGTCTTAACATGATTAGATGTGTATTAGTCTAAAATTAATTTATGTGATGAAAGGAACGCCAGTAATGTCCGTTATGTACTGCTGACAAGATCAACTCTGAAATTTCTATAATTACTACGTAGTTTAAACTTAATTCAATATGATGTAAAATATCTGAATAGTGATTTACAAATTCAGATTTCGAATAAAAAGCTCAGGGAAATGCAAATCCTGATGGTGCATCACAAGAAAACTGCAGTATTTATCTACTATTCAGTGCAGTAATACATGTTGTTCTATTGTTTTAGAGCCTGATGAATCTGATCTGTGAGATTCCTTCTGTAGTCATCTCTGGGCCTGGACTCCTAATCTGATTCAGAAGCAGAACTTTTGGGACAAATTAGCCCGCAGTTCTATAATTCCCACCATATGACATTTCTAACTGCAGTAAATCTCTGTGGGAAAAAAAAGAATCTATGGT